TATTAATCTCTTTGCTGTTGTTATACTGTAGTGGATAGAAAGTGGCTAATGTAGCTTCTGATGATGGATATGGACATATTGACTGGGCACCAACTGGAAGGAGCCAGTATCGCTGCAATTGTCTTCATATTGTTTCTGCTGCACGCAATGCAGCAAGTAGTGTGCCCCACATGTAACAACAGAATGTAATTGGTGTTGGAGACCAGAATTCATGTCCTGCACAATCCGACAATTAATATCTACTATTTGAAAACCATCATATCTCCTTAACCACAAAAAAAGTGTTTTCATTGCTTAACCTTGACTATATATAACAATGGTTCATTTACCATAACCACGATCCTCTTTATCTTAACAATATCATAGCCATATGCAGATAATGTAGAAGAAATAAACTATTTTGCTACCAATGGACGTGAAAATGGTATTTTCAGGTTTGGTCAGTATCAACCTTCTGTCTCCTCATACAAAAGAGAACAAAACAGATCAAATTCAATTTAAAACATTTTTATGGCCCAATCTATAATGACCATCTTCATTTTATGTGTCTCCACCACAAACAGGAGAAAGAGACCTCTCAAAAATGTTCAAGGCAAGAGGACAAGTAGATCAAACAAACTCAGTCCCTCCAGGAGGTTGCAATGTTGCAAATTGTTGTGAAGCCTGTCCTTCAGACTTCAACACTGAGAGTAGAAGGTGTTACTGTTGAAACTTAGACTCTGTGAGCAGAAAACTGTAGGTTATTTATGTGAAGTGTCTTTGAGTTTCTTGAGAAGCGCTCTATAAATGAAATGCATTATTATTATTATTATTATTATTATTATAATGGACAACATCTAAGTAAAAGTGATTGTGGATAGACCAGTAGAGTCTGGAGATCCACTTAATCAGAAATTAAAATTCTTCCAAATAGCCACCTCAAAGCATTAAGTTCTTCTGGGTTTCAGTGGTGGTCTAAATACTGTTTCAGGAGCATTTTCTGTCAACAAAGACATGAATGGACACATTTACATGATCGCTATAGGCAGCTTCAAATCGGCTTTCAAAAACCAATATTAGTCAAACCTTACTTTTCTCTAGTCCAGTGATCCTATATTGTCTAAATAGTAAATAAATGTGTGCAATCCCAGGCAAATGAGTGACAGTGTCAATTATTGCTCCAATCAAGGGCATGTCCACATAGCAGAGTGCAAAACGTGTGACAGTGGTGGCATTTGTGCGTGAAACAAGTGCAAGCAATTCATTGTCAATACAAGGTGTCAAATTTGTCATTGTTTGTAGGATGGTGTGTTCTAATTTGAATGGGGAAACCTTGAATATGTTAAAAAAAAAAAAAATGAGTCAGACTTTGTGTTCTTTGCCTGTGAGTTGCCTGTTGGGTGTATTCATCATGTCTGTCTTCATTTAGCTTGTTTCTGAATAGATGAATAACCTTGTGTAGGGATTAATGTTCTCTCACTCACACTGCGTATGTCTTATCTCACGGTATATGCTCCATTATAACCTGGCATACTTACTTATTACATTGTTTGATATACAAACCTTCTATTAAGGCTCAGGAAACAGGCTGTGAATGTATTATTTGAAGCGTGATATATTGAACTTTCTAAAAAAAAAAGCACACTGAATTTAGATGAATTAAGCGATTACTTGTTGGTTTTATATCTGAATGTAAAAACTACTATGACACTATGACTATGTACACTACTTATGAAGGTATTAATTCAACACCCCAGTAGAAGTATTTTCATTTGGAAGACTGATGCTAACACAATTGCCTGCACCACCCTCAGGAAATACCAGTATGAAAGTTGATGTCAGTGATCACCCATATTTGCTACCTGTGGTGTTTAAGGCTTCCCGAAGCACCATAACGTACCCTGGTAACCTTAATGCCCAGGGTACATTACCTCCGGCAGTAAGGCAGTTCTTATTACATGCATGCATCCCAGCAAAAAGGCTCTGAGGGCTACATAATGTACCATATAATGTAGTCTTATTGCTAGGAGCACATTAATAATAAGGAAGAGCAGCAATTACATCACACATATGAGGCATCCCATTCAAAAGTAGAGGGTTGGACGAACTGATATTGTCTGTGGACTGGTTTGTAAAATGATTTTCGTTGTATTAAATGTGTCATTCAGAAATCTGTCTGGTTTGTTGGGCCTTGCATTGCTACATTTTCCTAATCTTCTAGTTAGCTTCTTCTCTGCATTAATTCTGAATCTATTTGTGCAGTCGATTACACAACAGCTTTGTACCATTTACAACATGTTTCTACTATGATATAGCAAATGCCTACTGTGAACATGGTGATCATGATGTATGTACCCTTTTGTTGTTACTTCTAATAGGATCTGTATTCTTACTTCATCACTGACTCCAAGAAAATAATTCCAATTTCAAAGCAAAGAGATTTTTGATTAGATTATTTTCCATTTTAAAGCTTTTAAATTCTTTACTTGTTAAACCTTAAAGATACACCATTCTTCAATTTTGTTACAGCACAGGATTGTGCCCAGACATCCTTAAATTCCATCCCATCTTCAAACCATTCTTCATTATTCATTATTCTCAGTCACAGTCTTGTGCTGTGTCTTTACACTGGATTTGTAGATTTGTGTGTTTATATGTGTGTGTTAAAATATACAACAGGGGTGTCTAATTCATCAATACAGGGTCACTGGGCCAAGCTAAAACACAGTACAATCAGTACAATCAAATGATGAAAGTGGTCACTGAACTTTTTCAGGGTAAGTATATAGGATAAGTATATAGCTACAGGAACTGGAATTCTTTCCTCCCATGAAAGCCTGTTGCTATTAAGGCAAAACAGCAGAGGACTTAGTTAAAGGATTAATGCCATCTCTAGTCAGTAGTAATTGTCCTCAAAGATTTTAGAAACCTTACAAGAATATATTCAAACAGCCTTCAAACATGTTTTGAATTATTTTCACAGTAATAAAAAGGTCCAGATTTCACAAAATGATCTAAGTATTATGTATTAATGACTGTGGCTATTGTTTCATTTTGGTGCAGTATAACATTGGTTTACAACATACTACATAATATATACAACTTGTGTATCCCTATGTGAAAATGATCTCAATATACATCTTTATAGTTACTGAAATTAATCTGAAAAAAAGTATTAAAACATATTTTAGTGACTAAAAACATTACCCCTAAAGTTTTTTTTCTTTTTTTCTTTAAAGATTATTTTAGAAAAAAATGTGATTTTTTTAACTTACATTAATGTACACTTTCTTCAGGTTCTCCACCTTCCACCATAATAAATGTATATTTTTGGCATAGTGCCACTGTGTTGAGTCTGTTCACTGTCAGCTCTTGTGATAAAAAACTATACTATATAAAGTGTTACATATTTAGTTTTATAAATGGAGAGATGATGCAGTCCACATGTTAGCTTGTACCTAACTGGCTTCTACACTAAATCTCTTGAAGCAGTTAGCTATTGACCAACCCGCTGCAGAAAACAATGCTCAGTTGCTTTAGCATCTATCTTGCAGTTGACTGCTGCATATAAAAAAAGAGATTACTGCTATTTTGACCGCTAATGCCAACACATTAAGTAATACAAAATACCCAAGTAAATATATCTTGCATTGTAAAATGCACCACTGTGACTCTGAAAGAGAAAATACATTTATAATATTCACTGTACTATGTTAAATACTTATTCCACAGCACATACTTGTATTGTAATCATATTTATAAAGTTACAGCTGCATCTACCCCAAAGGTAGACCTAGGTTAAAATGAACAGAGAAGTTTGGATATTTTTGGCAGCTGAATAAGTCTGCATTAAGATATAATATGTAATAATAATAATATTTTGTATAGTTTCTTATAACAAGTAAGTAAATTGCTCCAGGTTTTGAACAGGATAAAGTGAAACTGAAGGATTTATGACAGGATTGGGTTGATACCATACACTGACATCTCAGGTAGATATATTTATGGTGAAATTTCTCAATTCCATTAATGTTTGGTGTTTTACAGTTGCCCTAAGTATTTCTCCAATGGTGCAGGCCATTATATCAACAACTATCCATTGTGAGAATGTTTGGGGCCGCCCGTTCTCACTTCCAACTCGTCAAATATGGCAACTGGGTCAGTGGCACTACCCTTCAACTAGGGCGCTGTAGGTATTCCTCTAGCATAATTTCTGGATGTGCCCATCTGGCGTGATGTTTGAAAGTCTGCATAGGGTGGTGTTGGGGTGGATGGATTAGTCAAACAAACAAAGGACTTTAACCTTGGAGTCTGCTGTTTGTTTCCCGTTTGAAACCAAAAGTCAACGTTTTATAACCTTTTTCTTTATAAGTTAGGTAAGTTACGTTATGTATGTAACCAAGTTGTTTTTGTTCCTAACCCAACCAAAACTGTGGCCATTTGTTTCTTAGCAAGCTTTATTTTAAAAAAGGATAACCAGACGTTGCATATTAATGGATGGCTAACACTACATGGTAGCCACAGAGTTTTATTTTGAAGTGTAGCACCACTGTCCAAGCTGCTGTATCTGACAAGATGACTGTGTTGGAAACCCCAGTCAAACAACATGTCTTGTGTTGTGTTACTGCACTGATGTAGAAATGCTGCGTATGGGCTAAAAGCCACAGATATGAATAGTGAGAATAGTTACAGTATAAGCAGGATGGTAGTTTGCAGAGTGGAAATGGACAGCAGCAGAAGTGGGGAGGTGTGTGTTAGTTGGTGTGGCTGTTGAAGATGTGGGTCATGCAGCAATACATGTGCCTGTGATGTAACTGTGTGTTACTGCCAGAACTCCAAAAGTTGTATTTATTCTATTAGTGTTTCCAATCCACAAGGAAAAAACAGTTCAGTTGTTTTGGGAAGTTTTAGATTACATGTTAGATTACAATAGAAAAAAGTTTTCTGGAGTTTTTCTTGAGGTCATTTGAGATGGTGGTTAAAGTCTAGCTTGGATCCATGGTGACAGCAGAATTCCTCACGTTTCTTATCTCGTTGTCGCCATTGGGCCTAAGTGAATAAATGCAAAGAAACCAACCCTTATCTTACTGCGTATGATTCATCACGTCATTATAGTGTGAGTTTCTGCTAATTGGCAAACAGATTATATATTAGAAATGATCAAAATAAATATATTTAGCATATATTTTGTTTCATTTTGTTAGCATTTATAGATTTATTTGTCTTTGCCATGAGACTGCCTTTCAGGCATATGTGGTTATGGTAAGAAATTCTGCTATCATTGTTTTAAATAACAAAGCAGAGATGAATGCCAGAAGTATTTCTTACCTTTTCAAGTTGTGCGTTCTGTTTGGACTTGTAGAGGAACTCTCCCACGGCCACGAACACGGAAAGGACAAGTCCAGCAGCCAGGACGATGAAGATCCCTCCGATGTTCTGCACCCCGAGGGCGCTGGCCTCCTTGCTCTCCTCCTCCGGGCAGCCATTTCCTCTCCACCATTTCTCTTTCATCATGTGCAGCTTTCCTTCCTCCTGAAGCTGCAGGATGGCAATAGTGATCTTATCTCTGTACGGAGAGCCTGAAGGACAAAAAGACATGAGGTCAGCATGAGCAAACAACATGACTGAATCAGAGCCTTGATACTGTCAATGAGTGGAGGACACAGACACCTTTATTAAATATTGAATATTTTACCTGAGTATATATATATATTTTTAACTTAAACCACAGATTTCAAAACTGCCCACTCGACTTAACAGATATAATAAGGGCTAAGTTTGGTTTAGGGCTGAGGATTGTGTATAAACATACGATTCTGAATACCAATCCCAGTGCTCTTTAAGTGATATCGATATCAATAGTAGAGTACTTCATTTGATACCTTTTGGTTTTTTTGTCTTACGAACTCAGTGCAGATGTCAACAAATGTTCTCCGTGCTTGATGAGATGCTTTATAATGTTACTTATATATTTCTTTTGGACCTTTAATGGTATTGAGTACCAACACCCAGCCCTAGCATGGTGTCGAGAAAATGCTGTTTACTTGTACAGATAAAATACAGGCACCAGAGGTTTTTTTTAACGATTTCTTGAAGTCAGTCACAGTTTTACGCAGTTAAGAGTTAGGTTGTAGTGAAAGACTGAGAAACAGTAATGTAAGTATTCATTCCATGTTATCTTTCAAGTACTAATTAAAATACATGTACTGAATACATTTGATCTTTTTCCTTTTAGAAATACATTTTGAGCTGTTTAATGCAAATCCTCACTCCTACTGCACTCTATGGGAGCACACAGGAGGCTTAGATGGACGATGGATCACTGCACAGTATGCACATATCATAAACTTGTTGAGTATACTGTAAATGATTATATCTATTGTTTGTTTTAGCTGCTATCCACAGACAGTCTTTGTAGCCTATGTCTGTACAGTAGGTTGTTTCAATGTGTTTTTATATTTTTGCGTCAACCCATATGAAATGCCTCAGAACATACAATGTGAGCTGAGAAGATGAAGTCTTTATTGTGATGGTACATGATTTGATTTTGGCTAAATCAATCACAACTGCTGAGCAGAGCAGGAGTCATGTTTGACACATTTTCAGTGGTCAGAACCTTCAACTGACAACGCCGGAGATGCTCATAAATCGAGGTGCCTTTTTAGATAGAAACCTTTATTGTAAGTTGACAAATTAGATTATCAAGTTAAATAACACCAAAAAGAAATGAAATAATATCTTTGTAAATGATAGTACAAAATTATGGTAAACCTTGAATGAAATAATATGCAAGAAGTCACACAATTCTCCAAAGTATGTAGAAGCACTGCAAAGTTCATCAACAGGCCATATGGTGTAGCTAATTACTTTATCAACAAAGTAGACAGCTTAAGGTATTGCATGCAAGTAGATGATGTCAATTTACCCTGCAGAATTGTTAACAGTATTATGAAGGATTCAAGATTTGGTTTTGCATTTGATAAGGTTAACCAAAACACACCTGAGGAGATGTTGCTCTCTCTTTCAGATGAAACATCTCCTGGTATAGATAACCTGGTTGGAAATCCTTTTAAAATTGCAGCTAGGCTGCTTTCCAAACCAATATGTCATATTGTTAATAGATGCTTACTCAGTGGGACCTGTCTGGGACTATGGAAAGAGTCTAAAATCATATATTTACCCAAAGTTAGAAAATTGTAGTTACAATTGCAGACCTATTAGTATACTCCCTGTGCTGAGTAAGACACATTTAATAAATATAATATACATATTATCAAATTTAATTATTTTAGTAGAAATTAAATAAAAGCCCAGTATGCTTATAGATGCTTATATACCAGATATGTATACAGTTATTCAATATTTTAGAAATGCTTAGCTTTGTTTCTTGACATTTCTGGGTTGTGACTGATGTGTGAAAAAGTGGTTCATTTTTCATACATACAGTATGTACTGTCTATATGCAACCCCTCCTGTCTTGGCTGCAAAATAGGAAAAAAAGTGAAAGAAAAAAGTTAAAATTAACCCAAAATAAGTATTGCATATTTGATTTTAATGTGCACAAATTAGCTCTTATTGGTTCGTTTTCATACTGGTTTAAAAATGTGTTTACTGTTCTGATTACCAGACCTCTCATAGCTGGTAAATGCTGCTAATTGGTATTTAACTTCATACACTATGTCCCATATTTGCCAGCAGTGTTTGTTAATGTGATTAAGTTACTTAGGATTCTAAGTCAACACTGTAGCATATTTTATATGTATTATGTTTTGATTCTTATTTTTATAGCCAATCAGCACTTCATTTATTTCATACTGTTGTTTTAAAGCCGTCTCTCTGCTATTTTCCTATCTCTGGAAGTTATTCATTTCTATAACTAGGTAGTCTACTTTGTTGTGTATTGGTGCATTTAAATAAAAACGCCATTATATTTCAGTGAGTGTTAAGCACATTCAATCTACAATTCAATATATTTCATTGCACATGTTTAATATTGTAAAATATTAATGCTAATGTTTAGCATTACCATTTCATTTGCCCCATGGACCCAAGAACACCAACTAATAAACGTTAAGTACATCTATGGGGCTCATATTTCCACTCATTCTACCTGTATGGCTGTTTAATTAAAACCATAGTTAATCTGTGCTAATGTTCACTTTGACCTGTTACCTTGGCTCAGTTAGTTAACAAAAGCGAGCCTTGAAATGTCCCCCTTCTGCCCATGTGAGATGTCTGCAGAGCACTCAATGAATTCCCCCTCCTCTGTTTTGTTTTCCCAGCACCCCCTGCACCTCCTCCCTTTCTCCACTCAGGTACAGCACTCCAGCACCTTCCCCCTGCTCTGCTGATAAAAAACAGTCGCACATCCAAATCCTGATTAAACCTAAACGGTCCTGTAAAAAAAAAAAAAAAAAATCCTGCCAGACTCCCACTCCCCAAACCTCCCTGTGGTACAGCCTATACGCCGCAATCAGGATGTTAATGCAGCTTGAATTATTTAAAAAACTAATAACACCTATTATCGCAAACACTTAGAATGAACTCTCCCTGGAGCACAGGGGGGAAAAACATGTTTAGATTAGGAAGCATATTGGCTAGCTCCAGTCGAGTAGCGATCTCTGTGATTAGTAGTTAGTATGCAGAGCCAGTTTAGCAGCAGTATTATGTAGTGGACCCAAAAGACCCTAGACAGTGACAATGATGAGCCGCGCTCCCCTACTGGAGCAGAGCTTTGAGCTACAGCCCTCAGTCTTGTGGCAGTGTGGTTGCAGTCACAAGGCTGTGTTCACACTCTTTAACATCTCATCTGTCCTTCATCTCTGCCCAAGGGCTTTTGGTATCTGACTCTTTATTTCAGAGCAAGCAGGCCAGTGTGTTTTAAAAGCATATCTATCACCATGGCGATGGTGAATGTTAATCCATTCCTACTTATTCATTGCCATCTACAGTAGATACCTTCCCTTCAGCTCCGGACTGGAACAACAAGCCAACGTGTGTCAGATAAATCACTTGGTACAACAAAGAAACGGGCAGCCTTGAAATTGGGCCAGCTCTGCCCGATGAGAACAAATGGAAAGACCTCCGCTGTGATACCGTGGGCTAGATGAACATGAGCACTGTGTCATACAGTCAAGACCTGCACCGCTCTGTGCCAGCCGAGGTTTTGGCAAGTGTCCTAACCAGCATTCACATGAGCATAAAATGGGTGAGCAATCTGATGCCTTCTGACCTGCTGAGTTGAAAATAGAGCAACAGTGTTTCCTTTGTAAATTGGTTTTATATTAGACTTGTAAAATACACTGCACGCCATCAGACCATCCACCATTTTCATACAGAGAACCAGATGGCATTGCAAGGCTGGCCTTGGCTGTGATACTTCGAGGATCCATATAAAACCCCAGGCCTTTATACTCCACTAGGAATAACTGCTAGAAATGGATGTTTGTCTAGTGGTCATATGATCAGTCCAATAATGCTTTGGTCCAAAGCAAGAAACCTCAACAGCTATTGATGCTTTTTCAATAAATCAATCCCTCCACTTCTCTTCTGCTACATGCCTTCATTACATCCAGTCTCCACTACTGTGATAACATTCTTTATGCGAACCCATGGATGGCAACAACATTTTTTATCATCCAAAGTCTTAATAAACTCCAGAACAACCAGATTTGATTCAAAGTACTCCTCTTCCTATACAAAGCCTGCCAAAACCAGACTCCTCTGAAACCATCCAGGGATTAAAACCACACATGGTGAAGACAGGGCATTCTGTATTGCTGAGACACTCTCCCCAAACACAACTATGACCATGATTTCTTATGATTTCTCAGCCAATTATGTCTTTGCTGATGTCAGATGTGATTTCAATGTGAATCCCCATGGCCCTAACCCATTCACCCCCAGCTTCATTACTTCTGGCAACCAGGTCTGAGCTGACCACAAGCCCGCTCCTCTTCCTCATCCAGATCTCAGCAGCCTCTTCATTCATTACCACCACCACCAGTGTCTAGATTCCATCGGGGGGTATCCTACTCTACTCAAGGCTTCTCTATCCCCTTAAAAAATGTCACGATGGGGTCTAATTGCCAACAACTTTCACATTTTTTGCGAACTTTAGTGTGGTTTTAGTTTTCTGGGACCTTTTTTATTGAACTTGTCAAGTGTTTGTGAGTATCTTGAAAAGCACATTGACAAAAAAATATATGGAAATTACTAATGTTTTTTTTTAACATTTAAATTTATCATTGGTGTTGGACATTCTCAAATTGTAACCTGTATAGCCATTACACACCAAATAAAAAAGAAATTACAAAATGTCCTCAACAAAAATGTGTAACATACGTTACATCCTGACATGGTACTCTTTCCTCTATATTTTGTGGTACCTTAATAGCAGTGGCTAGGCTAGCTATGGATTTTCAATCCATAAAAAGAAAATACTCAGTGGAAAATAGAGAATTTAATATTGCATGGACCACCACTGTGGCTGGTTTACGGGTATACTTGATCTGTGGTGTGAAATTAACATTATAAGGCTCAAATACTGCATGTGTTGCGGCTCAGACAGATTTTTATC